AGCAATCTACTTGATCATAAATTGATTTTACAATGGTCATTATAGATTACAAAAATAAACTTTAAATTGAAATTCAAAATTGCATTTATTCTGAAAAATCCCAAAAATATATACATTACATGAACTTGATTTTATTATGATATCATTTTTACATTATAATATTTTTTTAAAATATTAATTTATTAATTTTAAAAATATTTCAGCATTTAAATGCAAATTTTTATTTTATTTTATTTTATTTTTAATATTGAAAAAATCTAAATTCTTGTAAAATTTAAACTAATGGTAATTTGAGAAAAGCATTTTACTTGAGTTCAATCATTGTAATTTGTTGAAAGCTGCCAAAGTTCAATCTAGATTAACTTCAAGTTATTGATGATATCTTCTTGGAAGTGACAATGTTAAATTAAAATTAATTGACATGTGTATCCACTCTAGAATTAATAACAAATGTTGTTCTTATGCAAGAGTATTATCAATAAGCTTCATAAGGTATAGAGTGTGTCAATCAAAAAGTAAAATGCATAAGATAGTTAGAGCCTATAGCTCTAATGATGAGAAGACCAAGCTGTTCTTGGAGTCCTAGCAAAAAAATAGTTGCCACAACATGAAGTCCTAATGTACTTCACAATCAACCGCTAGAATATCCTAGCCGCTAATTCTACAAAATATTAAATCTTGAATCTTAGCTATTTGTGAGCTTTGCCGTTCTTCAAGCTTTCTAATAACACAATATCTTTATGTCTAATCCATGCTTCACAGTAATTTTCACATTCAAAATTTGAATCAACCAACCTAAGAAGCAACGTAGAAGTTTTAAGAATGACATATGAGAGTGAAAGAGGAATCATTTGCTCAAAGGTCAGAATCACAATTTCAACTTCAGCTATTATGCGAAACAAAATGACAAACACTAAGTCTTGTAGTACAAGTTATGGTATAATCAAATACTTTGCAAAATGATAATAATTATTGCCGTTAAGTCTTGTAGACCAAATTATGAGATTATCAAATATAATTGACATGATGATTATTTATTTTTAAAGAACAATTGAAAGACAAATAAAAACATTGGTATGGACAAGACAGTAAGACCCAAATACTAAACTTAGAACAACAATGATTAAAAGTATCTTCAAGAACATTCTATCAACATAGTCATATTTACATTAACAAACTTTGCTTTTAAAGCAATTAGATGCATATGAGATGTGTGAGATAGAAAGATTTTTTGCAATTAAAATTTTCAACTGCGTAGAGGTTCCTAAATAGTTTGGAGTCAAGGTTTAGAACTTTGCAGAGGCAGGGATTGGAGTTTTTTGTCGCAATATATGTTGACAATTAGATCAATGTACTAAGACATGAAAACTACTAGGAACATGGTAACGGACCAGCCCAGATGCCTGAGATTAGCTAAATGGCAATTAGCACATACATTACGTCCAGTAGCTTTTCTTTGATTCTCATAACCTTGTTCCAGCACGTAAATCGTCCAACCGTTTCCGCCCGTAGGTATGAAGAGCCGAAGACCAGAAATGACTTGACGATTTACGCGTGCGATATTTAGTCAGAGCGTAGCCCTGACTGAATATTTTTTTCTCATTCAAGACCGTGCATGAGCGCGCTACACGCGTAGCGCGCTCACGCACGGTCTTGAATGAGAGAAAAAAAAATTGTTCTTGATCAACAAAACAAATGATCTTCTTGTTCTTTAAATTAGTAATCTCAAATCGATCTCTCGTTAAAGATGGAAATGCACAATTTTTTTAAGCCAAAACTTCAAGAATAACTAAGATGATTTAAGTTTTTATGAATAGTGTATAATAATAGATTGCATAACCATCTAATAATTTATTAATATCAGATTATAACGAATCAAAAAAATTCAAAACATATTTTTGAATTTAAAATCTACAATATCATTATTATTTTTCATCTATGTTCATAAAATAAATTAAAATCAATTCATGAGATTATTGTAAATTACAATGAAAAGAATTTTTTAATTGTTATTTTGTTTTTATTTTATTTTTTGCTGTTTTTTATAAAAAAAATTGTTATCAAGATTACATCTTAGTGAAAAAGTTTATAATATTCTTTTAAGCTAATTTTTTAATTTTGTAATCTATGTAAATTGAGATTAAGTTAGATATAAGTTTAGATATTAAAAGGTACTATAATTTCTAAAATATTATAATAATTATTTTAACATTTTAAACCATTTTTGATTATATTAAAGTCCCAATTAAATTGATAAATTCATTGATCATGATTAAAAATTTTAAAGATTTCAGTGAAGTTTGAAAATTGTATAAAAGATCACTTGCAGATTTGTAAAAATTGCTGGAATATATTTAAAAGATGTGAAAAATGTATTGAAGGTTTTTTAAAACAGAATAGATTATGAGTACAAGTTGGTGATCAAGAAAAACTGAAAGAGAATTTTTTTCGAATTTATTTACAGAACCATATGACATAACTAGATCATTTTATAATCAAAGTTATTATTCAAACCATTAGTATCAATTTGAAGTTAGAACAGTAGCTAAAAGATGATACGAGAGAGTCGTAGGATTCTAGTAATTGTTTAGGAGAATTTATAATATTTTGTACATATTGACATCATTTGCACTAGCTACTTGGATGGCACGAGACATTGGTTTGAATTTGAGAAGAATCAAAATAAATTATAAATTTTGGTCAAGTTTTGACATTTTTGTATCCATTTGTTGCATTACATACTGTGATATACAATGCATGCTTGAATAAGTTTTAAAAGAGATATATCTGGTATGCACACACTAACTATCGTATATTGAGAGAATCAACTATGACAATCTAATATTAACATCTTTAAGACTTAAGTCAAGGTAAAATTTACTTGTAGTAAGGTTGTTTTTATTCTTAGTATTTGTATTCCTATGGTTTTGGTTGTTTTGAGATATCGTTTTGTTAATTATCCCTAAAGAGTTGTGTAATCAACTCCCAGCAATTTCCAACTCCAATCTAGACCTTGTCGCATTTTCACCTTCACATGAATCACACTAGCGTGCTTTTGCGCCTTTCCCCACTCTTTCCATGGGTGAACTGGGTAGCCAGTTGACAAGAAGATAACTTCGATTCGCCAGGTGGGCTTATCTCGTGTGACACTATTAGAATTCACGCGGTGCTATTGAGCAGCAAAAAAATATCTTTGCCGCGCTCTCAACCACATTTTTGTATAATGCTATGGTCTTAACGCTCTCACAAGGTAGTGATGAGACTCATGGCGTCCCGAAAGTATTGAGATTGGCCGCAATCTGTCGGTACCCATAGGCCGTCTAACGGCTTATCATTTAATATGTTTAAATAGTAGACTTTCTATACATTATTGATAAACAATCAATTAAAATAATTTATTATTGGAGATCATTATTGGCATAATCAAGTTGATAAGACCATTTATTTTTTTTATGCAGATTCCATAATAATTTTGCTACACACCTGATTATTGTTAAGAAAGATTTCAAAATTTAAAGCAAGATTTCAAGATTGAAACGTGTAGAGAAGAAAAAAAGATTATTGTAGGTAACATATTGTGAGAAAAATTTATTATCCATGCAATACAAGTACTTATCATTATTATAAAATAATCATAATATTTTTTTCCTTTCAATATATCCAATAACCACAATATATTTCTCATTTATATCTATGTAGAACTCAAAAACTACCATTATATTCTTGCCTTTTGTGATATGGAAACATATATGTATCTCTCGATCTTTATCATTATACTTTTAAGTCATGTACTATCAAGCTAGAAAATCTAAATACTTAAGAATCTTCAAACAATTTTTTCAAATATAATTGATTAACTTAAAAGTTATGTGTCTTTTGAATTCTATATTTTTTCTCTTGCATAAGAGTTATATTAAGCAGATTGAATGAACAATGTATCGCACATTTTACTTCAAGTTACATATCATAATTCAATTGAATCTTTCAGTTTGAATCTAGTCTCATGAAAAGTTTTTTAATTCAAATTTCGTGTGATTTATGTGAGAATAAAACAAATGCATGACACACTTAATTAAAAATTGATAACATTCGAGGACAAGAGAGATAGTTTAACTAGAAATCAAAGTACATGATTTTCCATAAATGAGAGTATACCAGTTATTAAAGATACTTATCATAATTCAATTGAATCTTTCAGTTTGAATCTAGTCTCATGAAAAGTTTGTTAATTCAAATTTAGTAAAATAAAAGAGTAAAATGAAATTTCATGTGATTTATGTGAGAATAAACCAAATGCATGATACACTTAATTAAAGTTGATAACATCAGTGGGAAAGAGAGATTGTTTCACTAGAAATCAAAGTACATGATTTTACATAAATGAGAGCATACCATAGAGATCCAATTTAGCCAAATGACTGAGCTAACCTGAAAACGGTTAAGTCCATTATGGTTAAGAAGACGATAAATAAATTTCCAGTATCCAATATAATAATAAAAAATAATACAGAAATGATAAATAAAGTCACCGAGTCAATGGATACAAGTTTTACAACACATTTTGGAGATAGATACACTCCTCACTTTGAACAAATTTCATCTCTTATGTACAAATCTGAAAGTTTTCGCTCGGAGGTTTCTTCAGAAAATAAAATATCACATTTTTTTTTTATTCCATTCAAATTTGCTTCTCATATGGTGTACTTTAGCTTCAAACTTTCTACCTTAAAGACGGACCTGTTCACTACAAATTTACATGCTCCAAAAGTTTTGACGTCGTATAATATCTCAAATATACTTGCTGACTTGGCGGTCTCATGGGACAAGTGGCATACACCCATATCCACGTGACTCTGGGTTTAGGGTTCTGATAAGACGAAAAGGACCCTCTGCTGGGAAAGATAAGAATATTCTCTCACAATCCTATCATGGCTCGAAAGGCACGAGAAGTGCTGCTGAAAAAATCTCCCAAAAATCTCTGTCTTGATCTTACTGAAACCTCTGTTTGACTTCTACAGGACTTCCCTGCTTGCTTTCAAAATTTTGGTGTAGTCTCGGAAATACCTCTCTCTGCTCTGGAGCAAATGCAGTGCTCGAGGAATTCGTCATCTGCGTGAACGAACGCAATGGCAATGGCAGCTACATGTGTTTCATCACACGTTCTGTGCTCAGCTGCATTTGCCCCGAGTACAAGTTCTTCTGGTTGTAGCGTTGGAAACAGCGGAATCAGGTGCGCGATTGTGTCGAGGAGCCATGTCGGTGGCTCTTCGAGTTGCAGATCGGGTAGCAGTTTAAGGACAAAACAGCTTATGGGAAGGAGCTTGAGATTCGAGCAGGCAGAGGGAATCAGCAAGTCGGTTAATACTGGATTAGTTGTTGAGGCGGCAAAGAGGGTGCAAACCGGGCGGAGTTACGTGTTGAGCTCTACATTGAATATTGAAGAAGGAAAGGAAGAAGAAGTTGCTGCTCTGTGCAAAGACATTCTTGTGTGGGCCGAGGAGAAAAAGGTGAGTGCCGTGTGAATTGCCACACAAATGTGGAAATTGCAATTTTCATTCTTCATCTTCATGTCTCCGTTTGATGGAAGGGTTTGGAAGGAATGAAGTTGTAATGCTTTTGTATCTGGACATGTTGTTACTTCAGAATGTGAAAGGCTCGGGGATTACCGTGTTTGAGTGCAATGTCGATCCTTTTGAGAAGAACGTCTTCCATTTTTGGGAACGGTACGACAGTTTCCAGATAATGAATGATATCCGTGCATCTCCCGAGCACACGAAGTTCCTCAACGATGTGAGCTATTTCTTTCGTACTCTTTTTCCTTCTTACTGAACTCTTATGCGAAGGTTATGGTCTGGGCTTTTTTTTGTGGAATTGGTCATCCACGTACCATGCCGTAAATTTCACTGTCTGCGTTATTGCTTCCAAAACCTTGGCGATTGTACAAGAAAACCTACTTTATTTGAGTAAACGTCCAATTCTTGTTTTTTGCAGGTGAGGCCTTTGTTGACTGGCCCTATTGGACTGGCAGCATACGAGTACAAGGATGGTCAAATTGGGCACATGATGAATCCGATTGGTAAGAACTGCTGGCACAGACACCTCTAACTCACATCAAACAGGCATAATGTCGTGTGTTCTGGATCTGTGTGATGCCATTTTAAGTGATGTGAAGAGCGTGACCAGCTCACATGATGTCAACGCCTGAGAACTGTGTTGTTGGAATTGCAGGTCCCAAGGGTGAGGGAGGCCTAGATGATGCTACTGGTCAGTCAGGAACCAAACAGCAGTCATCATCTATTGGACAAGGGCTTGGTCAGATGGAAGAAGACGAGGACGTAAAAAGTTGGGGTCTTGATAAGTTGTTGGCTAAAGTTAGGGGGGAAGACAGAGAAGCCGGCTGGAGTTTCAAGACTTTGTTTGGTGACATTAAAAAGGGATCAGTATGAACGAGCTGAAAGAGTACTCCCACTTCTTCTGTTCCACTCTTTTCAGGTAGCCAGTGTTTGAAAGAGACGGCATACGGTGACATTTCACCATCAAACACCAACCTCTAGATTTGCCTTACTTTTTCCCCTGTTATGTATCCAGGGTTGCCCTGCCGGCAACTGTCGCCACATGTATAATTTCTTTCTCGAGTGCTTGCGAGAAAATTCACCAGAATTCATAGACGAAATAAGTTTAGTATGAGAAGTGATGTTAGTTGTAGATTTAGAGGATCAGAGCATTTATGCATGAAGAGAGTGATCTGTATGTAGTTTATGATTGGATCATTGACAGTGCACGCTGGCTGGACATTTGACGAACTCTTCATTCCATCAGGTGTAAATCAACGAGGTAGATAGCGTGTGATATGTGGTACATCAAGATTCTAATTTGATTGATCAGTGCCGAGTATGTCCTGTGCCTTATTCCTGTACACGATGTTTCCAGCTTTGTTTTGAATGCTCTATTCAATTTTTCCAGCAAGAATGTAACAACTTACATTCTTATAATGTTATAATGTCCCCCACTATATCTTTGTGTACTTCCCCTAGAAATCATGAAACTCATGGCAGGTGGTTAATCCATCGCATCCACTAGTAATGCTCATTGCATCGCCCTCCTGAGAAATTGGGATTTTATAATGAGCTTGGGGATGCCGTTGAACTATAGTCAGCTTTTGTGAACACAGCAGAACAACTGTCGCAGTCTTGGGTGGAGTTTTGTTACACAGAACTAGAGGTTTAGGCACTAGGATATTGGTTCGTCTCAAAGGTACGAGAGCTGCACATTTTCCACGGTTCTGACTTTGAACTAAATTGAGTAATGCTGACGGAAGTAAGAGTGCAATGGACGGTGCGTTGAGGAGTCGGTGGGTGATCTTCTGGTGAGGCTCTTTGTTCTTCGATCTCAATGAGAGGCGAAACACTTCACATAGGACTGCTTGAAGCTTTCCAACTCACAGAAAGTTATAAGAGTACACGAAAGAGATGCCTCAAGTACCGAAGAGCTGTGACTGGCTTACAGTGAACGAGAAAGATCATGCCCCGAACTATTGGCTCTAAGTGAAGAAAAGACAACATTGTCTGAAATGTGTTGACTGCAAACGCAAACGGAGTACACCATTTTGCGTACATTGTACACATTTCTCTACGGGATCGAGAGATGTGACACGTCTGCAGGTGCACGCCATGGCACCACATCTCCTTTGTCAATGGAACACTTCCCTATCGAGATGAAGTCGTTCAGTTTCAGCAGAACGTGCTGATTGATCCAATACTTGGCTCTTCAGTAACCTTGCAGAGTGTGAGCTGTTCAGTCTCGGCCCAACTAATTCAAGTACCCGCTCCGAGTTCTCTGCTCATATCATTCGACATCTTAGTACAAGTGTCCGGCTTATTACAAGGAATCACGAGTATGGATTGTCACTGTTGTGGAATATGTTAGTGGAGAATGAAGAGCTGATATATTGCAATGATTGTAAAAGTACCGAAGCCTACGAGTTGAAGAAAAATCACCATAAACGAGTACAATCGCCAACTGGAAAGTGACAATAGACGGGCGTGAAATTTAACGGCCCCTCGTTTCAGACGCATAAAGGCACGAGTCGTCCGTTGGACTAAATTTGCTGGATTCAACTGTTGTAATAAGGAGGAGTTCTGATCATTACTGCACTAAGCACAAAATACGCGATCGACAGAACGGAGTAGTAGAATGTTATGATCTTGTTTCGATCTGAATGCATCTGTCCTTGAATTCTGTTTTTGGCTTTTGCATAAGAGTACTCACGTCGTCCAGAAGGTCAGTCAGGAAACCAGTCCACATCAAATCCCCGGGTTATGCAGGGGATTACAAGGCCGTCCTTCATTATCACCAATTCATGGTAGTCCTTCCCTTATTTGTAGATAACAGTAATTGGCAACGTTCCAGTTTCATATAGTATTTTGTGTTTCAGTTAGGAAAATTACACTAAATTTAAACTACCTCTGCTAGGATAATTTCCTTCAAATTCCTCTATTGACATTGCTACATTCTTGTCACAACATCTACCGAAATATGGTCTCCCTTTAATTCTATTCTTAATTTTCGTATAATATATAATCATGGTAATTTAGACTCAATAAATAAGTCATTAATTTTAATGCCATGTACACGTGGACGCAATTATGTTACAATGATCTTTGGTCAAGGAGAGGGAGTTGATTGACATCTAAGTTGAGACCAGTGTAAGTACACTAAGGCCCAACTCCAGAGAAGAATATTAGGCTTTACAGTACCAGGAAAGAATCCTTTTGTAAACCCTGGGTTAGACGGAGGGAAGAGAAAACGCTCTGCCGTTCGCGACAGCATAAGTCCCAGAAGACTGTCAGATTTCCTCCCTTTCCCTCTCTCGAGCGCAGCAGAGCAGAGCAACGAGCTTCCGTCCCTCAGAGTCTCCCGCTTGCCGCGTTACTTGCAACCATGGCTGAACAGGTGAGTGAATCAGTGCAGCGAAGAACGCCCTTTGTGTGTGTGCTTGTCGAATGCAGTTTCTTTCTTTGATCCGTCTGTATCGCAATGTCGCGACACTCCTATGCAGTATCACGGTCGAACAAACAGTTGCGGATTCTGCGTGAAATTGGGGATCATTGTGTTGGGGGATTGATTCGTTATCAATTTGTGTTTGCTTCGTAGAGCATAAGTCAAATCAGGCGGCCATGCCTTTGGGATCGCATTTAGCCAACTTAATGTCGTCTCGTCGTTTCAGTCGCAGATTAGGGTGAGCCTAGCCCTAAGCTATACCCACGTGCCTCGGATGTCGCTTTGATGGGGCATAATGTGTCGCCTAGGTTTTCCTGAAGATTTTCGTATGCACGGTAGAAATGTGTAGTAAGATATTTTAGGGTTTGTCTCTCTGCACAGAAATTCGTCCTGGGCATCTTGCATTCTTTGCAGCTTGAGAGCTTGTTAAAGCACTTGGAAAGGAGGTGCAGTAAATGTGGGGTTTAACAGGTTGAGAATTTTTATTCACGCTCGTACGACACGGAAAATCTTCAGTTGTCTAATCTGTAAATTTTAGGGTTTGAACAATTAGTATATGCACTGGGATTGCTCGATCATCAAAGAATTTGTATCGTCTGTACTGTCATCTTTATAACATGCATTGGAAATGCTGCCTATTCATACGAACTATATTTGTGTTGCAGACCGAGCGCGCCTTTTTGAAGCAGCCGAAGGTCTTCTTGAGGTGAATCTTCAATCCATGCAGCTTTTGGAAGGAGCATTCTTTTGTTGGCATTAGTAACTTTAGTTTTATCATTTCGTTTTGATTTTTATTTTGGTGATCTGTGGTGTTATTAGTAATAAGAGTCGTCCGACAGACACTGTTTCAACTTGCTTGGAGATTCCATTTTGATCTCGTTTTTTTAATCATTCAGCACCAAGAGCCTACTCAAGGCCAAGGCACCTGGAAAGGCCGGAAGCCGATTTTGGAAGAACGTCGGGCTAGGTTTCAAGACTCCCCGAGAAGCAATTGAAGGTAATTTTTGGTTTCATTCTTTCTTTCTAAATTCTCTCCCTTACGTGGAGCGGGGCCTGGTTTTCGCTAATCTGATTGAACCTATCTTCCCATGCACCAGGTACATACATCGATAAGAAATGTCCCTTCACCGGAAACGTGTCTATTAGAGGGCGTATCCTGATGGGAACAGTTTACTGCACCAAGATGACCCGCACCATCACAGTCCGTCGAGACTATCTCCACTTTGTTCCTAAGTACCAAAGGTTAGTACTATATTCTTTCACCCGCCGTCGTATATCCATAGTTTGTGATTTTCTCTCTTTCGTGAGTATATTTCGCTGTCTGCACTAATTACTTTTGGCAATTTGAGAAGGTTTATATAGGCATTACATGAGTAGCATTGCTCATAATTTTGCGAGGGTAGCTACTGAGCTCTCTTTCTGTGTGCAGGTACGAGAAGCGTCACTCCAACCTTTCAGCCCACGTTTCCCCATGCTTCCGTGTGAAGGAAGGAGACAAGGTCATAGTTGGACAGTGCAGGTATGTGTCGACGGGGAATACTCCATAAAGATCTAATGTCACTAGGTTTTATATCAAATATGGAGATAATGTAGTGACGGAATATGTGCAATTGCAAGCGACTCACTTTCTTATGTGTTATGCTGTCATGCAGGCCCTTGTCAAAAACTGTGCGCTTCAACGTTCTCAAGGTCATCCCTGCAGGTTCCTCTGATGGAGGAAGCAAGAAGGCCTTTGCAGCCATTTGAGTATGTAACCTTTTTTTTCACGACCTTTGCGGTCCGAGTTTTTATACAGGATGGCCATTCAATCGACCTCAGTTGTTCTACTGGATGTTTGTCTTTGGGATTGCATGCCTTCCGCTTCTCATCTGAATCTCTGGAATTTTCATCATTCTCTCAAAGTTTGGCACCTCATGAGATCCCCAAGTCGGTCGGCCTGCTCGTGATGCGTCCTGGTCCGGAAAGTTTTGCGCAGTGTTGTTGAAAGATCATCAGTTAATCAGACCATTAATCATCAGTCTCTAGAAAGAACCTTTCTTTTTTTATGCCCTGTGTCGTTCGTATACAGATAGCGCCCTGAAACGCAAGTTTTTTGGGGACGGAATCTCGAAATGACCGCCAAGGGTGCCCATCCTATTGTCAATTCCCCTTTCGATGCTGTTTACCTACAAGCAGTGCAGCTATCAGTGCCGGAATCGGATCATGTCGTTCCGGCTAGAATAGAGAAGAATAGAGCAGAACTTGATTATCTGCATGAGAGAGCATAGCTTTGTTGTTGAATATGTGGTTCGCGAATCTCTTCGAAGAGGAATACCCTCAGCAGGCCTTGTTCCTGTCCTTCGGTATGACGATCAAGTTTGTAGTAGCAAATTCCTGGATCAATTTGTCATGTATCAAAAGTACTAGATTGTACGCATCTAGATTGGTACTTGTCCCACATCAGACCATCTATCATGTGTGTAATGAGCAATAGCCAGGCTCCAGTGTAGGAAGAGCTCCCAAGGTACAGGTACAGGACCCTGTAGCATCTAAGTGTGAGGTTTAACACCCCTACAAGAAAAATTAGCATATTATCGCCCACCATACCCGGAAATTTACAGCAGTATTTCCCTTTACTCCTAACCGGGTATGGTATACTTGACCAAATTGTCAGCATGCTTAAGCCGTCCACACCCGTTGCTTTTCCCTGGTGTTGGTAATGGTTGGAATTCGGATCCCACGCACCGTGATTCTCAGTCGCGAAGCAACATCTGATGTGCCCTTGAATAAGGCACAGATTTTTTGTTTTTTGCATAGGGCATGTATGTACCTAGATTTCCTACAGCTAGTGTCTCATGATTTAGGTCGTTATAAGGGATCTCATTACTCATCATTCTAGTGCTCTAGGCACTAGCTAGGACACTAGCTAAGGACGAGATGTCCTCAGTCCTGGTCAGTGGATGAATGACTTGTCATGTTCTTTTCAGCCTTTTGACCCTTTGGGTCCCATGGGCTCGATTTATTTACCATTTGTTTCTAGAAAGTCGCGGACAAGTATGAGAATCGAAGGTGAGTTCTCGAGATGATTTGATACACTTTCGCACTCTTTTCCCAGAGAAGGAGCTTTCTTTTACACAAGTAAACCTCTCAAAGTTTCCAATTTTTCCTAATACCTCAGAACCATAAAGGGCCCGAAGACAAGTTGAAGGTGACCGTTTACACAGTTTAGGCTCTTGAAATATTTTGCACAATGTCGTAAACCTGTAACTTTGACCGTCTTCTGAATGGTATATGTTTCTGAATAAGAAACACAAGGCAATGTTTCACACAAGGCAAGTGAGCTATGAGTACTCACTACATCATCAAGGTAAGTGATTTATAAGGATTTGCAACATTCTGTCGCTAATACACGACTACCTATGTTCCAACAACTTCAATTCGCGTCTATTGCGAGTGCATGAAACCAAACCTACCCAACCTTAAAACCTAATATTACTCCTGATGGGAAGAGCACAGTAAGCAAATCCAGGATCAATACAATCTGTGTATCACTTGACTTGTGTTATGTGTATTATATATTCATGTCATTCTGAAGACTGTCGAGGTCAAAAGTTGACGCAATGTTGTAAATTTTTTTCAAAATCTCAAAAAATCTCAAGCTACTGGACTGGCAAAACGCTCACCTTCACCTGGTCTAAGATTCAGAGGTTGAAAACCGCGAACACATGGTTAAAGTCAGTGTTGATTACCCACTCGTATTTCGTGCAAAGTACAACTACTTAAACTCAAAGGTTTCGAAGTAAGCTTGACAGGATTCGAAATTGTCTTACAACATGGAAGTTACAAAGATAAGCACGAAGATTGTATACGGGGATCAATCAGTTCAGATATTGTTACGGTACCGATTGTGCTAACATATACCGATTATATAACATATACTTTACGACGAATCGACAAGTCTGCTCGAAGTTATTCAGATGTACCCATCGTAACAACAACGTTGCTCCGGAAAATGAACTTGAAAATTATCTTGATCATTGCCAATGAATTGATAGCCAGATCAAAACGGAGGTTAGAATCAAATACGTAAAACACCCGTCTTGCAACCGATACTGCTCTTGATCTTTAAAAAAAATAAGCAAGCAAACTTACTGCTGTCGAAAGTTCTCAGATTAAATAAGAAACAATCCATTGTTCACGTGGAAAGAAAAATTGTGTCTATGATAGTGTTCAAGGTGTGCACTATATGGCACAAAATCATTAACAAGTATACTTCAGAAAGCTGATGGTCCCCCATGTAGGTGGACATGGGGGATTTTCAGCTGAAACTGAACTCCTTTGTGTCTCTCTTGGTTTAATTAATAGTAAACTTACTAAGCTAGCCATCAAGTGAGTCGATAAGAGACGAATGGGATACTGCTCGAATCTTGGTGAAGAAAACATGCTCTACAATCTTAGGGTTACAATTTCTGCTCGCTATCGCCCCTCTCATCACATATTCCAACTCTATCTTGCGCTGGCAACTTAAAATCACTTCAATGGATTTAGCCCCTTGGACAAAATTTGCATAACGGCCCCAATTCAGCTCGAGTGGGTATTCTATGTCACAATTCTGTCGTATAATTTCCATCTATCAAGGGGCACAATACATTTCAAGAAACGTGGAATTCTGTTCATTCTTAGTTTGCGGCCCAAATACTCATGGCAGAAAAACTTCGGAACCTTGCACTTGAGTTCCAATTTGCACTTTGATCATATCATCGTCTTGCATGGTTGTTTATTATCGTCTTCATGCAAAAGACACAATGATATTGTTGCTTCATAATGCAACAATATCATTGTTGCATTATGAAGCATTATCACCGTTGAGAATTCTTTGTCATTACGATTGAATGTAGAAATATGAAGCCATGATAAAAAGTTTGAAAGTTTCAACGGTATTCACTTTCCATATGTTATGTCATGGCTTATTTTCATTCAAGTTTATCTCATATAGAATTTTGATAGTTCATTGTGATGTCTTAAATATGTTATCACACAATTTCTTCATTTATCATTCAAACCAAACATTCACTATAAGATGTATAAACTCAAATTTATTTTGATATAATAAGTTTTCATAAAATAAATACCCCAAACTTGCTTGAAATACTATTCTCTGCCTCTCTCTTTATGTTGTTTGAGACATTACCATAGTCATACATGGATATTATTATCTAATATACTAACTTAGATAAATTTTGCTATGTAAAATTATTTTCCATTTTATATCAACATGCCATTGGCATATACAATCTTTCTAGAATTTTTTTTCCATAATTTGGGGTGACGATATGTCATTTGAAAACTCTAAACTTATAAATCTTACACGTATCACTAAGTTAACTTTAGACTTGATATGATTATTGAAAATTCTAATAATTAATCAAAATTAAAATGTACTAAATGTCCACTACTCTTACAATCTAGACTTTGATAATAGATAAGATAATAATGCAAATTCATAAAATCTAGAAGTATCATTATATCATAATACATTATGAAGCACATGATATTAATAAATATCATAATGACATGTATATTCTGGTAGATCTTAAGAAATATGTATTCTTTTGGCAACACACTTCAAACATATTGCAACTTAATATCCAATCAATGTTAATGAAAACAGTAAGATGTCATCAGTTTCATATGAGAAATATGTGAGTAATTTGATAATATGCTGAAGAGTTTATATTGCTTTAGCTATATACAAGACGGGCAAGTACATGTTGAATCCAAAAGAGATGCATGGAAATCAATGAAATATATTTTGCAATATCTCAAGAATACTAAGGATTATGGTGTTTTGTCTAATGATTTATAAGACAATCCAAACAACTTTATATAGTATGTTAATGCTGACGATGGACAATATACAAACAAGAGTAAATCTACAACTAGATATGTCTTTATATTTGCTGTGGATGCATTAGTTGGAGATTTATTTTGAAAAAATGCGTAGCTTTATCTACAACGGAAGCTAAGTACTAGAGTCTTGCATTGGGCTTCAAAACTTTATCCATACCAAACGGGTATCAACTTTATCCAACCATTATCCATTCATGGCACCTATCTATACCCAACTCATACCAATTTCCATCAGCCCATCACCAAAATATCGTGACTTAATAAGCACTTGAAGTTCACTTAGACTTTTTGGCACGTTTCTGACAAGTAATAGCTAATCAGCACAATGTGCTGATTAGTCCTTTAACTCAATTGTTTTAAAGAGGGACTCCATCGTATCCATCCATGGATCCTACTCCATAACCTATATCCATACATTTATCCATGGCTATGGTAAGGTATTGGATATCCATGGATATGAGTATCCATTGCAGGACTCTGCTAAGTACGTAGCGTCAGGAAAAAAGTTTAAGTAGCAAAGGGAGCAATTTGATTGAATATGATTCTCATTAAAATATGATTAAAACATAAATTTTTTAATTGTCATGTTGATAACTAGAGTGTGTTATATCTTGCTATAAATCAAGTGATGATTAATAGATAGAAACATATCAATATAAGATATTTTTTCATTAGATATGCAAAATTTTATTAAAAAATTGAACTAATAAAGATTGTAGATAAATTCAATCAAGTTGATATGTTAATCCAAATTAACTTTTTGGAAAATTATAGTATGCATTATGATACTTTGCAGATTTTGTATGATAAACATAAGTAGAGTTTATAAACAATTTTTTTATCTTTATACATATTTATTTACTCTATCACGTTGTGGCTACTACTTAAATCTAATTAAATATACTTGAAGATTTCTGTTTAATTTCAATAAAAATAATAATTTTTCAAAGCAATTATATGTGTTATGGAGTCATTGTACTTATATATGAGTTAAATGTAAGATTGTGCATAATCAGCACAAGTCTACTCTAACTAAAGTAATTTAACCATAATTGAAATCTAGATTTTGCAATAACTATAAACAATACCTAGTCAAAACTCTTGTGAAACACTTTAGGTTTTTATCAATAAAATTTTCTGTAAGTTATTTTCAACGTATACTGCATTTGCAAACCACATACTTCTGTGTATCTGCCTTTGAATGTATGTTTGGTGTTTGTTTGCAAAAATTTGCAATTAACATTGCAATTGACATTAAGAAATTGATATTTTTCAAATCACTACTATTAATCATATTTTATATGTATATATTGAAAAAGATAAAAAAATTTGTTAAAAAAATTTATTTATGATTTAATAAAAAAAATTCTTATATTTAACTAAAAAATTTATTTCAAATTAATATTAAAAAATCATCAATTTACTCAATAAACATTTTTTTTTATTTAAATTCAAATTTACATAATTTTATAAATAAAAACATGCAAACTATCTAATCAGTGTGAAATTTAATAAATTCAGTTTTTAAAAGATAATAATAACTTTTTTAAATTTTTGTTTGTATATATAGGTCCTGCATTCATGAAATGTCATTTTTTGCAATGTAAAATTTTTATTTCATTCCAATAATTTTGAATCTTACCTCATGAGGTCAAAACTTTGATATTTATTTATACATGAATATTGAAATTCATCTTTAATCTTTTTAATAAGCTTGCTTGAGTAACACCTCACATGCAAAACTTATTAAGATTTTTATACAATCTAAGGTGTAGACAATTCAAAATTTTTTTGAATTGTCTAAAATGCAAAATTTTTGTTTTATTCCTATTTTTACTTAGACATCAATTCATGCATATATGTACAATTCATTTAATTACTCCTTCGTTATCTTTTGATAATACAAGATTATATTTATGTTTCTAATGATATGTTCATCAAAATATGATACTTTTGATAAATTCAATTAATGGTGTTTTAATATATCTACTTTTAAAAAATATTCTAGATTTACCTATCAGTTTACTTCCAATTTTAATTGAAAAAAGTCATGAAATATAAAATTAAATGCTATTTTGTGTAAATTTATCATTCTTGATAACACTAGATTATTTTAATGCCACAATCTGATACAAAAAGATTTTTTTAAACCAAAGTAGTCTCACATTTCAATGATTTTTTTAAAAATCGAAAGAAGATTAGTTCATCATTTCCACATTAAAATGACTCATTTGATTTTACTTCCTATATATAAAATCTAAATACATAATTAAATATACCTTTTATGAAGTCATGGTTTGTAAACAAGTTTTCTACAGAATTCTACTACCTATCACACACACACACAAATAAATAAATAAATAAATATAAATATATTTTATTTTTTTTTCAATATCTGAAAGAAGGCTTAATTTTCTGAAATATGTATAAAATACATTCGAGTAATATTTTTTAAGCTTTTGATCTTTTATATGTATGTATGTATGTATGTACATGTGCGTATATACATAAAATACTACCTTCATTCACATATGTGATTTAGTAAGTTTTTTTAAATTTCAAATAAATATGATACTTTTGAACTAAAATTAAAAAATAAAAAAACCCAAATTATTCAATAAAAATTCAAATTTTTGTGAAAATCTTTAGCATATGAAGCATTTCAATTTTTTATTACCTTTATACACATCATAATATTTTAAAATTGAATTCATAATTTCAAATTAATTTTGTACAAAAAACATTGTCACTAAAAAAATATTTTTTCATCATCCTCTATTCTTATATTTATACAATGTTGAAATAGTACAAAAATTTGATATTAAAATCAGAAATTTTAGTGAGTACTCTGAAAAATTATTCTAGATTGATTCTTGTGTAATAATTATAATTTTCAATCAAATCTTATTTTTCTAAATGTATTTTAACATGAAAGGATTTTTGTACTTTAATGATTAATGTTGAATGTTTGATAAAAAATTGGTAAAGTATTTATTTTAGATTAAATTTAAGTTTTCTTTTTAAAGATCTAGATTTCACGCAGAATTAATGATAATAAAAGTTTTATTTTCACTAAGTCTACGTTCACAACAAAAAAATAAAATTATTTGAAAATCATAAGTTGATGTTGTTCAAGAGCTCTAGTTAGTCTGATTAATCCTAGTCAGACTCACTAGAGTAAAACTAAGCTATGTTAACAATTGACAATCCTTACTTTTTAAAAATATCTTCAAAACTCTTGCATTAGTTTCAAAAAATTAGATTTACTCCAATTTTGAAAATAATAATTTATTAGAAAAAATTGAAAATTTTTGTAACCTAAACTGATCAAATTGAATATGGTTTTTATTGGAATATTTTTTATTTACAAACTGATTTCAAAAAAAAACATAAGATTTTACATAATGTTATAATAATAATACATATCATGTTTTCATTTATAAGTTCAAATTGTGATCAATGTTCACATTTTTATCTTCAATATGATTCATACTAGTTTTCCGATTGATAAGTGGCACAAGTTTCATAACTTGAATTTGATAATATCTAGAGTGACAATTTTCTATGGCATATGGCAAAAGTATTTAAATTAAAATCAAAACTCTAACGACAAGCGTGTTTCACAATCACTAGTATATAAATAGTTGTATATATAAATGACGGATTAACACAACCACATATCAAACATATCGCTCTGCATCAATAGTATATGTTCATAATCAGAATATTTTGTCATGAAATTAATTATTAATGATTTAAAGAGTTTCCAATTTCTTTTCTAGTCGAGATTCTAAAAAAAATCATTAAGTTGAAGGTTATGATTATTTGGTCATTCTTGTCAAATACACCTAAGTTCTTGACAAGAATAACTCCAAGCGTAGGTTGTTGGCGTTGAAATAGAGAATATTCTTTGATAGGGCCTAAGAGGTAATGAACCCCTTCCAACACAGTATGCATATTTTTTGCTGCAGTGGAACCAATTGATTGTAACCCTCATACTCCAATGCATGGAAAGGGTCTGGTTTGATTAAGCGTCGATACACATCATTTCGTACGATTAAGATGGGGCGCATTGTTGGTTATGAAATTAGAGTGACATTCATACTTATTTTTATGCATGATATTTGCCATGTCTTCGAAGAAATTCCACCCTCAGAAAGTGTGTCTTTGTGGATTAGAGATTCACACACGATTCGATTTGCGTTGACCCTTTACCAGCAAGTTGCTAGAGTTCGTTCAGCTGTCCGATGGAGGCTGCTGCAGGCTCAATAAACTTGCTCGTGCAAGAATCTCCGTATCTTATCCGTCGAGGACGTATAATGAAGAAGATTGAGGCTTTGGAACTGTCACGCAACGGAGCCTCAGCAGATACTGGAAGCGATGTCGGACCAAAATCTGTGTCGCTTTCAGCAGAGCGGCGTTTACACCGGTAGAAGTGAATCGCCTTATCTTATATCCTTCAAACAAAAGATTTTGCGCGGAAGGATCAGACTCACACGCCATTTCCTGTCGAGCTTGAGCTAACGAGTAATATCAGCTTCAAAGACTTTCCCAGTTTCTCTTGCAGGAGGAGAAACAGGAGCCTGACAAGCTTCTGAGAGGAACGTTCAACAGCAAGTTCCAGCCTACCCCTGCGATCTATTTCTTACCCAAATTCGTCAAATCCGATGTTCGTTCCGTCGTTGCTATCGTGCGCGGTCGATTTCAAGATCGACCGCCTTGAGAGAAGGTTTTGGAGATGTATGAGAACTCTACGTCAGACCCGCTGAATTTACTGTGACACAAATGATGATCAAAACTTTCCTAAAATGAAGTGGAAGTAGTAGGAAAGTTCTTTCCATCTCGTCCTTTTCTCGTTGTGTCATAAATGCAGCCTGCTCAGTGTCGAGCACGTTGTCTTCGAAATATTCTTCACACCAATCCAGACTCCAGACGCTGAGCTGGAAAGATGCGTCAGAGAGAGGCCAGATAGTTTTATATTGTGGCTAAAATCTCAATGCAAAGGTGAATATGTTCTCCAGATTGAAGATTTGAACCCACGTCAATGCACAAAGCCTGGCTTCCAATTATTTGTCATTGAGGGTTTCGTATCTCGTTGAAATCAAGGAATTTTCCCTGAGAATATCTGAGAAAGTTGCGTGTGATCTTCGCATGATCCTGACGGAGACTTCACCCTCACACCCAGCCATATTTTAGGAAAAGCGAGGTCCACAAACCTGGAGGAAGTTCGAAATCTGGGATTCCCAAAATGTGGGAATAAACCGAATTCTCCGACGTTTAAGGAAACTTAAAGTCGAGCTGCCACGAAGCTTTGAAGCGTTTCGCTTTTGGGATCCCTCAAGTACAAGCAGTGATATCTGAAACTTCTTCTGTCAACTCCACTAATCAGGTCAAACTAAGCTACATCGAAAATGCTTTGACGAGGGAAGCAGGAAGAGTGAGGATTAGGCTAGATGTGTCCTGTCTCTTGTCTCTGGCACATTATGGTTGGATTAGGCTCAACTGCTGACAGCTTTTACGGTCATCAAAAGGATAAAGACTTGAATGTTGATCTATCTTCATTGTCGGCCTTGGAGCCGATTAGCGACGTTTAGACTTCTGCAAAATTCAAGTTCAACTTTCGACTACTGTTCGGGGAGCAGTTTTGAACCACATGTCTGCAACTTTCGTTTGGCAGAAGGGTCACTCCAACTTCGATGTGGCTTAAGCGGTCAAGTAGCAGGTGGGGACTGTCCTCTTGTGAAAAGCTTTTAGTCTGATTGCCTTATCCCCCTGATACGACATCCTTCATGGCACAACTTAAATAAATGGTGTCCTTTTGTGTGCAGTTGTGTGGCAGATCTATTGAATCGGCTTCAGAATATCCTGCTCTCGCAACTTCCGCCTGACCAGGAATGTGGCACCTGGTATGGTCGAAATGACCACTTTTTGGGAATCCAGAGTTTGTGGAGCTTATGCGGAGCTTATCCTTTCCTTGTTCCTGCATATGCAAGAGAAGGATTGGGGGGAGGGGCGAGGGGAGGGTTGTGGTACTACCTCTATTCCAGGAGATTCCTGTGGCTAGCAGAGTTTATAGCGTGAGAGTGCTGAATGATCGAGGTCATGTGGTTAAGTTAAACTGAACATCATCAGTGATAAAAATCAACTTACAGCCCTCTTCTTTTGATTCCCTCTCGTCCTTTCTTTAAGTTTCACCACTTTTGCCTCGCGTCTCACATTCTGAGAGTTTTTTCGTTTTCAGCCGAAACTCTTCTTCTCAAACTCTTTGATTTTTCTATTTCTAGTAATTTGTCGCGGGAAGTCATTGAGAAATGTGCACCTTGTTTCCGTGTTTCTTCCAACATGTTTCCTCGTGGCATGTTTCTCCAGTAGTCCAGAAACTAATAGATTTTTGTTTTTCTTGAATGGGCACGTGATATGTTTAAACTGAAAATCAAATATACAATCTTTGGTGTCTGCAAACTGTCTCGTTTCGTAAACATATGGAGTATATTTATGTTTCATTCAATGTCACATGCGGGCAAGAACTTGCAAACCGTAAAGGTACTGAAAGATATTTCCATGGTAGTGGTGCATGCATACTAGCACTTGGCTACCAATAGACCCTTTATTTGTAACATATTCGTCTGCATTTAATGTTCAGTTGAAATATGAAAATCGTGCACATGCTACATCTTTTACTCGTGAACACGTCCTTATCTAACATTTGAATTTGAACTGAAAATCTTAAGATGTATATTTATTTCCTAAGTAGCCTATACACTTCTGTTTATCTTCATTGCAGCAACTTTCCACAATGATGGAAATTGGAGAGCAATGATTCAGATAAAAGTGCGAGATGAAGGCTACAGCTTTCATCATTCTGAAAACAAACATCTGGCTAAAAGGCGACAGATGTTTAAAAAACATTGCTCGGCGACATGGGTACGTGTAGATAGGAATGCTGGTTTTATGGAATCAGATTCCTCAGAAGCTCAGAGTCTGCAGATTATCTCTCTCACGGCGAGACTGAAGACAGAGAGTCGCAGAGCAGTCACGCAGAAAGTGGAACTCTTCAATTGCAGGCAGCACACTCGATGACATCTAGAAAGCCAAGTGCATTAAGGGAGAGACGCCATCCATAAGCAATCATTTACTCACTGCATGCAGATTTACATCGGGAAAACAGGTCAAAAAGGTTGAAATGCTTTGTGTCAGAGGAAGGAGGCCAGCTGAGCACAGGATAGAGCTGAACAAGCTAACCAGCATCAGCGACAGCATCCACCCCGGGGACATTTAGAGATCAAGGACGTACAAGCTGCTAGCAGAGAACCTAGGAAGTCGGGACCCTGCGTGCTTGTCAGTATGTGTCAGTTCCAAGCAAAGATACAAATATTTATAGCCGACTACGGAAGCGGATACTTCCAAACGCTTTTCCCGTAGTGGGCTGCATGACGATGGATTTCCTTTTAATGCGCGGGGGACACAGCACAATCCGTCAACTACCTCGAATGGGCTACCGCCAGATGTGCACATGGCGCTGATGTGCGGAAGTGTAGCTGATCATCCTCGTGATGGATAGCTGACGAGCGAGACCTGTGCTGACTTTCGACCCTACTGGAATACGTTTTTGGATACTCGTCCACGTTGTTGGCCAGTGAGGACCATCTCGTCAGAACTTAGCACTGTGCTACATGAATTGAACTGTCAGATTTCTTGAACTACGTTTTCTCTACATGCACAGTGCTATGACGCTATTAACTGCCGACAGCAGACCAGATGGGGCGTTACAGCATCGCGGTTAGAGGGGAAATTCAAGAGCATATGCTCACCAGAGTCCTCGCCTAAACTGTAGAGGAGTTGCTCAAGGTGCCAAAGACAGGGCTTGGAGTTTACCCTTCACTATCCTGAACCTCTACGCTTTCGCGTCCCGGTTGCTTGGGACAGAAGCTACTCAAGAAGAAATCGAATCATGTGCATGAAACAATGTGAAACTCCTCTCCTATTGCCCACACTTAATCTACATGCACTGAATGTGATGAAAGTGGAGCAGCACAGTTGCAACGGTCACATGCTCCAGAAGGGCTACATCTAACTCACAAGATATTATCACTTCACTCGAGAATAATCCATACCATGTACATGGATTTATACAAAATATAAGATCACAGGATGGAGAGTACGAAAAGTATAAATTATGAAGTATCGTTGCGAACCTTAAATGCTGATGACTTCCTGCATCCATCAAATCAGATTCCGAAGGCAACCCTAAATCACGGTCTTTGCCAACTCCACCTAAAATTGCGGGAAATATCATATTCATCTTCCCTCAGGGGGAAGCGAGAGACCCTCCACCGTCGGTCACACTAAAGACATACGGACCGAGTACAGTTCCACTTTCTCGAGAATCCACACAGCGATCAACGCGACTCGACTTGACGAGAATAAATAAAGGACATAACTCGCATGCCACTTTGGTTTAAAAACTTCGATTTCTCTCTGCTGTACAGCCCAGCTCCAATTTACAAAACGCGTGAGCAAAACATCCGTTTTACTGAGGCAGCTCCCTGAGCACCCTATAATTTACACATTAATCTGCCACTACCAAAGACAGATCGTACTTGACAGATCTACTAATTCACAAGAACATACCTACCATTTATGTATGTTACACCGGATCATGTTTACTCTGCTCCAAAAGGAAGAGAGTACTTAAGACGCCTAGGATCAAGGATCGGTACATTCCCCCAATTATCACCTACCGCAAAACCCAGAGAAAGTATGAAGCTGTCTCGATTTTCAGGACACAAGTTAATGTAAACCCGATAACAGCACCGAAGAAGCCCCGAGTTCACACTACGTTCTCTCCATTTACAGCATCGAACATGACTCAAAACTTCTATATGTCAACGGTGCAAGCAGCTCGCCCCAGACCGGAGAACATATCGCTTGTTTCCACAAGCTGCCAGCTTGAGCGGTCCTCTGCACTCACAGCTCCTGCTGGGCGTTGGTGAATGAGCGACTTGTTCCGATCAGCAGTACTGGGTAATGTCATCATGAGAATACCGGCTTCCGTAGACGTAATCCAGTTTGCGAATCTACCTTCTCCAGGAATTTTCTCCACGACGGCCCAAGCGTTCGACTCCTTAGCATAGTGGACTAAATTCTGTCTCTGGACTGCATACAAAACTCCCTGAGATACAGCGAATGGACCGGGAGAAACTCCTTCGGTCCACATGTCTTCGATGCGGGTCCACTCACCAGTGATGGGATCGTACGAATCAGCGCTAGAGGTGAACTGCCCTTGATTGCTGGTGCCGTAACCGCTAATCACGAAAAATTTCCCATCCAAGACAATTCCGCCGGATTCATCTCTCGCCTCGCTCATGTTAGGCAGCACTTCCCATCGGTTCTCCTCAAGGTTGTAGACCTCGGCGGTGTTGAGGGCATTTTTGTTGTCGTCGTGTCCACCAGCCACGTACACTTGCCCGTCCAATGCTCCGCAGGCGAAGAATGACCTAGAACAGGGCATGTCGGCGCAACCTTTCCACAACTGAGACGTGAAGTCAAAGACGTATACACTCTTCAGAGCCTCGTAGGTGTCAGGGTGCCATCCGCCCAGAACCAGCAATTTGCCATCGACTGCTACCAAGCGACAGAAGAGAGGCAAGCCGCTTGGAAACTCCGGAATGCAAGGAATCCGAGACCAGCTCTGATTCTGCCAATCGTAGACTGTGATCCCGAACTCTGGAGCAGTGGTGTGTTTCACACCGGGAGACCCCGCGCTCTGATCGGGCGCATCAGGCAGAGCTTGCACGATGCAGACGCAATTACGAGTCGTTCCAGCCTTCTTGCGCTCCTCGTAGAAATCCTTGCTGCACACGAGCTGTCCCCACCTGCGGCACACTCCTTGCAGTTGGGGGAAGGCGCTCATGGAAACCCGCACCAGGCACTCCAACGCCACATCCTCGGGCAGCCCCGGGAGCAGTTCCTTGCTCAGGAGATCCATCTCCATCCCCGCATTGCCGCAATCCCCATCGAGATCTACGTCCTCTAGCTCACACTCTTCGTAATCCGGCAACTCACAGTCCGCCGTCAACTCCCCGTACCAAATCGTCATTCTCAACAACGAACGATCCTTCGATTCACAATCCTCTCACCGACCTTTCCTCTCTCTCGCCCTATCACGCTCCCTCTTCCTCTCTCTGAACAATTGACTACCTCGAAAATCGTCTGCCTCTCTCTCCTCCCCTCAGATACAGATCTCAACGTCGGAACTTCCTCTCTGTGACTCAGCAACCCGATTTCAATACAATGAGCAATGCACTGCGAAGTGCGTCACCGTCTCAAGCTTTTATCTACGACAACACCTCCCTCGTCAAAAACGGTCGGGCAGGCAAGGCACCCGAGTCACCTTCCAGCTGCGAACCAGACACCGACACCTTGCACACCTCCTCTCTCGTCCCGACAGACAGACTCTTTCTTCCTGCGGCCCACCTTCTCTCTCTATCTCACTCTCACTTCCTCAATCGGTGCGTATCTCCAGACGACGGCCCGTCACATCCGACTGCCTCTTCTTGTTCTTCTAATATTCTTCTTCCTCCACCTTCTCCTCCGCGTTCTCTCCGGGGATTTTGAGCCCGAGCTCTCAAGCTTCGCCCTCTTCGCAGCGTCTTCGTTGTCTTCAGCGTCGTTGCGCGCGCCGCTTTTATGCCCGAAAAGAAAAGAAAAGCAAGGAAAGAAAAGGCCGAGGTCCAATCACCGCCCACCGGAATCGATTCGCAGACAGGCAACTACTGAAACCCGAATCCACAAGATAGATAGATAGATAGGAACAAAATCGCCGCACCACCTTTACAACACACCACACCCGAGCGCAGCAGAAGAGCTGCAGGGCGAACAAAAGCAAAGCAAAGCAAAGCCACTAACCGAAGCCAACTCGGCCCCCGTGGTTCGGTTCGACTCGATTTGATTCGATTCAACTCCACTTGACCTTCCTCACATCAAATCCAAGCCAACCACGGCGCTAATTTACAACATGACAAGCTGCAGGCGCTCGACGACACGCTACCCTACGACACGACCCTCCCCACCCCTCTCACACACTCTCGCTGCTACTCGGCCTCGGACCCATTGGCTGCCCTCCTTCACACTAACTAGCTAGCTACCCACGCAAATCCTCGCAGGCCCTGCTTATGAAGATCGTGGATTATATTGTTTAACGCCCACGGCTCCGAGCTGCAGCAACGCCGAGATAAACGCGCGCTTCGTAGACCAAAAGCGGCCACCCGAGGCACCGGAAATTCCACCGAGAGTTACAGTACCGCCTCCGAAAATAGAGGGCGATGAACTTGGGCCAGAAAAATTCGAGCCCGCGCCCACGGAAAGGCGATGGACTCGATCGGCGAATGGGATGAGAGCGGTGTACGGTGACAAGGACGGGGCTCTGTATTTAATATTTTTCGGCAGGCGGTGCTGATTCGGACGGTAAGTCGAAGAAGGTAAAGGGCGGGAGCGTTGAGGACGGTTGTGGAGCAACTAGTCACCGGTGAGATGGGACAGAGTTGTGGGGAATGGAGGCCGGCTCGCACTCCCCGAGTGATGGAGATGGTAGGCCTTGCTAGGGAGGGGAGGGGATGAGATGGATGGGATGGGGTGCTGCTGAGTCACTGTCGTATCTTGAGCCGCCGTCACGGGCTGCTGCTGCTGCTGCGATGCATCGCAGCTGCAGTGGATTGGATCGCACGTCATGTGCGCGCGCTCTTTTCATTTTGGCTTGATTTTCTTATCGGGTTGGGCCATTTTTGTCCCTGTGCAAACGGCTCGGTATGATGCATTCCCTCTGTCCATGTCCTCTGGACATGGTTTCTCTTTTCCACTGAACCTTCTCGACAACCACGGGCTCCACTCAAGCTATGCAACGTTGTGACCTGCTCTGTTAGTCGATTTCTCATCTGTGGATAAGGAACTAAAGTAGCATCTCAGTCTACAAACGTACCTACGTACCTACGTACTGTAATGGAGGCAACTAAGTCTACACTCTAGTTCAATCTGTTCTTGCTTTGGAAACTCCTCGTAAAGCACAGTAAACAAACAAATGAGAACCATATGAAGAGGTGATAGGCCCATTCGAATATGCATATTTCACATGCAAGAGCCGTGGAACAGTTCTGTAAGGATGAAAGTACACCAGAAACCAGCGGGGACCTTCGTGAAGAAGCCGATCTTGTTTTCCAACAATTGCAGGAAATTTTTTGTTTCCCCAGAGAGTCAGAAGAAACCCAAGAGGCGTAGTACGCAAGACATTCGGTTGAAAGGACTTCATATTTATTAAAGACGGTTTTCAAGTGCCCACAAGGATAAACATCTTTCAACCTCACTCACCCGTAAAATACTTAAAGAAGAATCATATACGAAATTCATATTTCTGGTATTCATGATTCATTATTGAAAATGAAAGAAGACATGCCAAATTTGGATTAAATGTTTGTTGTATGTTGCCTTAACGTATAGCGATTTACTTCTGCATTTGTAATAGTTTCGTATGTTACTGGACTCCATCTCTAACTGCTGATTCAAGTAGTAATTTTGAGCCAGACAAGAAACGAAAAGGTAAATTTAAAAACTGGTGTATTGACGTAGCATTGGCTTATTCTCTTCATAGGAAACAAAGTTGCAGCTGAATTGATTTCAATACAAGTACATGAGAAAGAATCCCTCGTAATGTACTTTTTCGTTGCTAATGTGGCATATACTTGATCAGGATAAAAATCCATCACAAAACGATACATCTTCTTATAAGCATAAATTACCAGTGTAAAGACTCAAGTGATTATCGCCCTCCTTCTGTCCGAGATGTTATAAGAAGCAGAGTAAGGAGTAAACAATGAGCTGGAATTTTCATATTACAGAGGAATGAATAGAATGAGCCGCAACATTAACCGCTTTAATCATGGTTACTTGTGACAATTAAGTAATTATATATATAGTTTTATCGAGACTAGAGAGTGAGAGCTTCCAGAATTCAAAACTAATAAGCAATTCCCCAATTTTTTGGATCTTCATCCTTCAAATATTCCACTCTCTGCTTCTTGTGTGTCAACCTTTTAGCTGCTGGTATATGACTCAGATGTTATCTTCAACGTCAGCATCAGTAATCAGGCGACACTTGCATCGCCTAAAAGAAAGAGCTCGAAATCAAGAGTTATAATGCTGCACTGCTCTACACTACACCGTACACCTAGTCAATGAAAAAACCATTGTTGACACCTCGCCGATTCTATTTCCACGCTGGGTAAGACATCTTTCTCATTTTGTCGTCCTTGAAGTCCAAAACTCTTCTTTCCAGGTTAATGCTTGCTCTATCAATTTCAGCACTCTTCGACTTGTGACACCACACCAGACTATGTGGCAGCTTTACTGAAGTGCAGTACAGGATGGTTCTTTATAAAAATCCATACGAGAGCATTCCCTCACAGCCACCTTACATCATAAGAGATTTTTTAGAACCTCATATCTATTCTTCTAGGCCTCAAAAACCACATTTACAAGTTGAAGCAGAACCCCTGTCCACCTCAACCTCCATCCAGGTAGTATTGCAGAGAAAACACCTGATCTGCCAGATAAACTCATGACATGTTGACACATGTAAGAAGCAATTCCACTGATATACGCAGAGTGATTCCGTGAGTTGGCCGTGTTTCCAAAACTGTACCTTCTTGTACCTCGTACTGTGGACAACACTGCGGGTATAGGTCTCTGCTCCGCTCTGGTTCCTGACCCCTCCCAACATCTCCAAACGAGAGTACTGTTGTAAAAGGTAAGATATGTTCAGTCACCTTCTACTTCTCTGCCACAGTACAGTGTAGGTCAAGCAGCTCCTGAACAGTCGCCTTGATACAATGTGTGTCGTTCTCGGAGTCTAATCGAGGAGTATGGTCCTCGTTCGTGGTCAGGGTTGTGTGTGAAGCATGTCTTGGTTCGTTCACCTGCTCATGACCTTAGACTTGTAGGCGTCGTGCTGTGTGTTCAGGCCAACCTGCACTGCAGTTGTGGCAATTGCGAGTAATAAGTGGGAAGAAGAAATATCACTACACTGGTCATGTGTAAAGAACATGGGGTTGACATGTTGTAAGATTCAAGTGCAGCTGGTCGAACAAAAGTCATTGCTTTCCTCTTCCAACTTAAAAAATTCAAAGTAAAACTTAGTGTATTTTTAAAACATTAGTATATAATATTAAATTTGGGCTCAAGAAATACTTTGGCCAAAAACTGAAAATTTTAGCCTCTTAGTTGATCCTCGATTATCGACACAGCGATTGTCATGGTTCGCGTTGCTGGTGTACACGTAGGAATGAATAAGTCGTGTCAACCATCATTAAAGAGTTAAGTACTGTATGCACCTTCGTTCCGTGTCCACTAGTAATTGTGTATGTTGGACTCTGAAAAGAGTTTAAGCTTGTCTTATGAAACATCAGATTCACAACACAAGTTTTCACAGGATCACAAGCTACAAACCTTTTGACATTTAGACTGAACACGATTACATCATGGGAGTTGAAACGCAATCTCAGATGCAATGCAGTTGAAAAGAGTCATAGTTCAAGCTTCCATTAGTGTTGACCTCAAGCTCTGTTTGATATACTTGGATGAAAGTTAGAACATCATCGCATGATTTGATCTGATAACTTGGTCTCAACTCACTAGTGTGATAGTCCTGAAGACAATTCAAAGAAGGGTCACACGACAATGTTGATATGCCCATGACAATGTCATTTGGATCTACTTGAAGTGAAATAAACGGTTGGGGTAGTTCTTCATACTTTATCTGCCACTTCAATATTGAAGCAAAGAGTATGTCAACTACTGCATGACATGGAAAACGTCTCGTTCAGAGTGGAACTTATCCAGAACGAACACTTCATGGAGCGCAAAAGACACATCTTAGTCATTCTGTATTGCAGTTAGAATCTTGGCTCTAAGACATTCTCTTATCTCACCTCCATGACACTTGTTCTACGTCAGTACACAGATTCCCCATCTGCTGTTTCTTTATTCATGTGGCATGACTCTCACAAATCTGCAAAGGAAAACATACCCTGAAAGATTTTACGTCAATGACACCCGTCCCTATCCAGAAAAACCAACAGAAGCTTCTAAACATATTCCGCTAGAGCAACTCTCGTGATATGTTCTGCTATGGATATCCTACAGTCAACTGCTACAAGATTTCTATAACCAATATATCTTGTGCACGGAAGGAGGGACCATTTTCCGGTTTGTAGTCTGTTTTACTGCCCTGACATCTGCTTTTTGGAGGACGACAAGTATAGCTCCGGATAGAGTTCAAATTGCCATAATCGGTCAGAAGCTAGGTGTGAAGGGGGCCAAGTGGATAGCAAAATACTATGTTTGAAGCTAGGACGGCCTGCTTGGTTCTTGTAAAAAAAAACTCTGCTCTTTGACTTCTATTATGTGGCTTGTTCCACTTACTTTATGTCTCTTTGCGTAGCATTTCTTAGAGTGATTTAGGAGTCGGGCTACTGGTTTAGATTTGGGCATCCCAAGGTTACGGCGAATGAGAACGTCCTCGAGAAATGTTTAGATAGGAAAAATGTGCCTGTACGCTACTCATGAGGCCGTGCTAGTACATTGTTTGACTTGACAGTGGAAAGAATGTTTCGGCCTTCGCTCTTGCTTGAGTTGCAATCCTTCTAGAGTAGCACGCTGAGTCACCCTTTGCACTTCCAACCCTCTAGAAGCCATGCGACATTTGGAAGTTGGCGGCCGTTTTTCGCCTCGTCCCCAAAAGTCCTTCTCAGATTATTACTTCCAGGTATGTGGAAGCCATATGTCCTTTTTCACATATGTACTGCAATCACAGGAGACAGATACAGTCGTACTTGGTGAACAGTAGTGGTCGTCCCACTCTTGCCGTGCCTACTTTTGCTTGTCCGTTGGAACACGAGAGAGATGGTGATTTACAGTAAACATGCTTGACTGACATCCTCTCTGTTGATATTTTGGGCTGCTTGACCAGGGATATGAGTAGCGTGCGTGCGCTTCTCTCCGCGGACAACTTATGTATGTCAGGGCTGCAAAATTCTGCCAAAAGAATCCTTTTAACTCTGCTACAATGATCCAATTAGACTTTCACACTAGTAAATCTCCACGAGACTCATGAATGGCAGAATTTGTTCCAGACCTTTAGCAGTGTGATAAGATTCAGCTGTTCAAAGAACGGCGACATCCCGGATTGAAAAATACAAATGCACTGCTCTCAACGGCTGCTTTGCCATGTTCCTGCTCCCCAAGTAAGTAACCAAGTTACAAGAAACAAGCATGTTATCAAAACATGCTCCGAAGTTACAGGATATGCTATAAATTATAAGAAATCGTGGTCGTGGTAGTGCACCGGATACTAAAACAACACAAAGTGGAAGGAGTTCGCCCACGTAAGCAAGAACATACATTTCGCCTCTTTGGCGCCTTACTTATTGAGACTAGCGGTTCCAAGAACATCTTCCAAGGTTGGAGCATTCATACCTACTTCTATTATAGTGACCTTTCTCCCAGACTAGCATTGTAAAATCTTCCAATTTGTTGCGGGTTAAGCTCACGCGTATAGTATGATCACCATTTCACTCTAAATTCGGACTGCGCCTTGCAGTCCTGGTGTAATAGTATTAGAATTCGATTTATTTCGGCATGTGATTATGAACTTATTTCAGGTTCTAACCTACTGTTGAGATTTTATTTGCTCCAG